AAGGCCTTTTTGATATAAGAAAATTATTTCTCTGTGATCATATCTATATTTTGCTTTAGGAATGTGTTTGTATATTGGAGTTTTCCATCAGCATCTTTAAAACTGCTGTTTTCTAAACCAGATCAGCTGTGACCTTTTTTTCAGAAAGAATATGCACAAATATTTGTAGCTTCACTATACTTGTAGCATTCAGTCTTGGCTGCTAAATATGAACTTTGGTCTGAACTCAGACATATGATGAGTTGTTAGGAAAAGAACTTCTCATAACTGCCTCTTCTGTTATCTCCTTTGAGCCTTCAGTACCAATTTGCGGTCACTCGCTTTTAATGCCTGTTTCATCTCAATGTCTTTTGGACTATTTATATGATTACGGTTTTCTATTTGTTAGCCTGTGTAATGTGTATCACAGAGAGTCAGGTTTATATTCAGCCAGATATCTGAAAGTTTATTGTAAACAACTAACTATATACACTAATATAACATATCAGATTTACATGTGCACTCTGGGTGTGATGGTTACTTATATTACTATGATGGGCTGAATCTTATGGTTTTTTTTTGGCTAAATCTGAGTTGTATTGAGTTTTTTGGGTGGTTACTCATCCTGAGGCCTCTCACTGCAAGGTTTCTCACTGTATCTCACCAAATTCACCTCATTTATTACCTACCATGCCCATAGCCTCTGTCACATTTGATTCCAGCCCCGTATTACCACGTGTCTTTCGTACAACAACTCACCACTTACCAGATAACCACTGAGAGATTGGTATTCCTTGTTTCCACACCATCTTTAAAAGGTTGCTTTGTTCCTGGACAAGCACGAGCATTCCAAAGCTACAGGCAAAGTCAGAACATGGCAGAGAAGAGGAAGGTAGCGCCACAATTCTCAGGCAGCAGCCCTCTACCGAGGTTTTGGTAGAATCATAGAATCCCTACAGTGCAGAAAGAGGCCATTTGACCCATTAAGCCTGCACTGACCCTCTGAAGAACATCTCACACAGACCCACCCCATTCCCATAACCCTGCATAGGGTTTATAAGCCATGGATACCCCAGCTAACCTGCACACCCCTAGAAACTACAGGGCAATTTTTGTTTAATATGGCCAATCCGCCCAACCTGCACATCTTTGGACTGTGGGAGGAAACCGGAGCACCCGGAGGAAACCCACGCAGACACAGGGAGAATGTGCAAACTCCACGCAGACAGTCAGCTGAGGTTGGGATTGAACCTGGGTCCTTGACGCTGAGGCAGCAGTGCTAACCATTGTGCCACTTTGCCATCCCTGGATGAAATAATCCCAAGGAAAGGTGTCTTCATCTCAGAGGAGGCGACAGAACCAGACTCTAGCAGAGGAATGGCCCGGAGTACCACAGGAAGATCAATAATCTTCTCTGATCTGCTAGAGTTAGTATCACACGCTTCTCTCTGCCACCTTACAGTCAGTTTCTGCTGCTGCATCTATCTCCCATGTATGCATGCTGTTCATTGCCTGGGCTTGTGAACAATGTTTTACTCTATTAAAAATTCAATGGTCATTGTTTGCTGCAGCACGCTCCCTCACAGGTCGAACCACTTACCCCACCTACTCAGAGTATGCTCACAGCCATTTTCCTCCCCAGTGTGCATTTTTCCAGCACGATGAAAGGTGGCAGTGAGTCCTTACCTTCCAGAGGCTTCTGCCTTAACCTGAACATGTCAGTGAGCCCCCAGATAACCACCACTGTTTCCTAGTAGCCCATTCCATTGACCCTACAGGCTCCACAGCTCACCAAGTCCCCAATCAACCTATCTACATACAAGCCTACACCAGCCTACCTTTCCCATCCAGACCCTGGCATATGAGGTGACCATACCTGGTCTGGTCATTCGGTGCCCTGCTCCTCCTGCCATGGACTCCCCCACCCCCTGTCATTATGGCCTTCCCAGCCACGTTTTACCATATCCCCATTTATAGAACAGTACAGTACAGGCCCTTCGGCCCACGATGTTGTGCCAACCTATTATCCTACTCTAAGATCAAACTACCCTGCATACCCTACATTTTACTGTCATCCATGTGCCTACCAAGAGTTGCTTGAATGTCCCTAATGTATCTGACTCCACTACCACCTAAATTAGTACAACAGAACTTCTATTCCTTGACCGGGAATAGAACCTGGGCTGTGGACGTGAAAGTGCTGAATCCTAACCACTAGATCACCAGGGAATACTTCTTGCAAAATCCTACTGCTCCACTCTACCATTCACAATTGTACTACACATTCAGTTGTTTGTTAGCTCACCGAGCCAGTTGTACTGTGGTATGCAGATGTTTCGTTACCCTTCAAGGCAACATCAACAGTGCAACCTCTAATCGAAGCATTGGTGTTCTGCTTCCTTCCGGATTAATACGATTTATAACATAAATTTCACTAGAGAGGAAGAAAACAACAAACAGCTCCCGTTCTTAGACATAATGGTCGAGAGACTGACTAATGGTAAATTCCGGACCCGAGTATACAGGAAGGCCACAACACGAACCAAATCCTTAACTTCAATAGCAAGCACCCCACCATGCACAAACAGAGCTGCATCAAGACACTATTTCAACAAGCCACAGCAAACTGCAATACCCCAGAACTCTGGAGAATAGAAGAGAAACAGCTACACGTTGCTTTCACTGAAAATGGATACCCAAGAAGTTTCCTCCGCAGATGCCTACAAAACAGACGACAGTCAGAGGACACAGTACAACAGAAGACACTAGCAACGCTACCCTACATCAAAAATATATCAGAAATGACTACTAGACTCTTAAAATTGCATAAGATCATGATTGCACACAAACCTATAGCAACACTGCGCCAAATGTTATCAAGGAGTATAGACCCCATACAGCCAGTAAACAAGGCCAACGTGATATACAGAATCCCATGCGGCGAGTGCAATAAACATTACATTGGACAAACAGGGAGGAAACTGATGACCAGGATACACAAACACCAGCTGGCAGTAAAGAGACATGACCAATATTCACTTGTCTCAATACACATAGACAATGAGGGCCATCAGTTTGACTGGGCCAAAATGACCATACTAGGACATGCGAACACCAGACATGCAAGGGAATTTCTGGAAGCCTGGATCTCAACACGGGACTCCATTAACAAACACATAGAAATAGACCCCCTATACAGACCACTGCTAAAACAACAGAACTGGAAGCAACAAGACCATCACACCAGAGGATCATATAAATCCAGAAGGAAGTAGAACACCAACGCCTCGATTAGAGGTCACATTGATGATGTTGCCTAGAACGGTAATGAAATGTCTGTACACCACAGAACAACCAGCTCGGTGAGCTAACAAACAACTGCACCCACAATCTGTGCTACAAATTTTCGCTAAGACCTTAAAAATGTACAACACATTCCCCAAAACCTGAATATCCCAGTGGCTGGAGAGGAACCTCCTGAGGCTCAGTCCCATAACAATGGCTGTACTTGTGTCCCTCCCTGCCTTGGTTTCTGTGGATGAACACAACAGACTGACCATGGTCCATACTTTTGACCAACATGACCGGATAGCCCTGTGCAAAATATGCACAAACCTCTGACTGTTGCCTGTACATCTCCTCCACTGCATTAGCCCTCCACACCAGACTAGTCGCTTGGATCTAAAGGACTAATCATTGAATAGGCATGAACCTGACTGGATGCCTGACCATGGCCAATGCTGGCACTTACTGTGCCAGGACCCCCTGACTGACAAGTATCTTCACAGACTTCATTAATGACTTTCTCTTGAGAGTTGGATATCTGGCTGCTTACTTTCTGCACACGCAATGTGTTTGCCACATTAGCTAGTGGCACTGTCGCAAGTGTGAGATTGATGTAGCACAGTGCTACTCTACGTAATTTACATGTCGTAGACTGAGGACTCCTTAGCAGCAAGGCAAGCTGTGTGATTTTGTGACTGCACTAATTGATATGGCAAGGTAAGACAGGAATGCTGTGAGTAAGTGGGTCGGTGCTAAGTGTACAGTTCTAAGGTGCAAGCAAGCAGCTGCAAAATGCTGCTTGATGCAGTCTGCGAGCTGGGGTGCGTGTATGCAAAATGTCCCTGCTGCAGCCTTTCAATGTTAGTTGCTGTTGCGCCCTGCCTTTCCATAGCACACTACCAGTACATCAAGAGGAGTTCAATGGTCTTGAGAGACTGGCAGATATCAAATGCCATTGTCCACGGAGATTGATGCTGTTGGTCATGCCCTGAGCTGATCGTAGGTAACATAGGTGTTACTTTGAGCAATGGCAAACTAAAATCCCCAGGTACACACTATGGTTTTCTTGCCAGGTTTTCCTGACATCGTTATGTGAGTTGTGCTTGGTGAGATGGGAGACTGAATGTTAATGAGGTTAGTTGGGCTGTTAACAAGTTACTTAACAAGCAATAATCACTGTCAATTGGCACCTCACTGCTGTGTCGCCTCAAAAACCTTGTCATGCCGCTTGAACAGAGCTAAAGAAAAGGCACGAGTTGCTCTCCGTGTCAAGATGGGCCTGTCACATTCTGCTACACATTGTGCCAAAGGCCACATTGCTCAGATCCTTATCTGGTCCTGTTCCATATTGCTCACATACTTGATGAGTTGGCTGGATGTCTGCTGATTACTAACATACTGGCTAACAGTAGTACAGAGACCTCATACTCAGCATTACACATAGTGATATCATCTAGCTGTCCTTGAAGGTATATGTCTTTCTGAGATCTGTGCAATTATACAACAAATGTGGATAGATGTCTAATTTTGTTTGATGCTTTTTTTTGCAATGCATTAGAACTATGTTAAATGCACAATGTAAATGCAAGTTAGTGAAATTTGCATTCAAGAAAAAAAGTTATTGTATTCATGTAGCACCTTTAATCTAAAAAAAATTCCCCAAAACACTTTACACAATTGTAATCAAACATCATCACTTAGAAACGGTGACTAACAATTTAGATAAAGTGGTGAGTTGAAGGATTTAAGAGACAGGTGTGGAAGTGAAGAGCGTAGAAGTTGAGAAAGGAAACTCCAGAGCATAAGGGACAGCTGCATTATGGTGGACAGGGGGTGTTTCTGATTCACTTGGGAACATACTGGGATAGCGATGACAGATAGATAGTGCACTGATCAGTAAATGCAAGTGTCAAGATACTGATGAACAACTTTCAGGCATTTATTTACAGGTGGCATGTGGAGTTAGAAAAATGTAGAGTTTGCTGCAGTGAATGATTTTTGAGTACAAAGAACTTTTCAGACAAAGAAGCAGAAGCAAAGTAATAAACATGGGTATGTCTACATCTGTATGAATGGCAGTAGAATAATTTTCATGTATTCAGACCTTCATTACAGAAACAGGATAGACAAAGTCAGGTAACCAGCAAACATAGACAACAGTAATTACGGTGTGTGATTGGAAGAACGATCACAACATTTTAACCCCTTCACCTCTGTTTTGATCTCTACTGTGGTACTGCATTCCATAATCTTTCTTTTCATCTTTAAGATACTCCTTAAAATCTACCTTTGACCAAATGCCTGAATGTCACCTTCAGTTCCTCAGTATCAAATTTTGTAAACTACCATGGGCCATTTTATTATATGAAAGGCACTACATAAATGGAAGGTGTTGCTGGAATTCACATTTTGGTCACGAAACGTACAACCCAGGCTTTTCAGAGTTTGTTTTTAGGATGAGCTAATAACAAACATAAAGTACTAATAAAATTGTATGGTGATACAGCTCATCAACTTGCCAAGCAATCGTGTCATAGTTCGCATGTTTACCCTTGTGGTTCCCATTTGGCAGATGCGTCATTTTTCCCAAGCTTTGTAGGCACAGGGGAAGCATAAAGGCACTGTGGCCTACTATATTCTGACTGACAGTTAAAAAGTTATTAAGTAGCAGCAGAAATCAAAGTGTGCATTTGTGCCCACAAGGGGAAGAAACAACAGCACAGATGTAAACAAGCATATGAATGAATTTAATTTTACACAGTTTTCAGCAAAGGACACTGTAATCAAGGTTAAAGAATTGACATTAATAACAAGGATCCTTCTTTTTACGAGCAACATATGGCACAATAAAGTCTGTCACTTTATACCACTAAGCTTCCAATTGCTGTTGTTCATTTTATTAGCTGAAGAGAAGCAATTGATTTAAGGTAGAACATTCAGAGGTGTAAGATAGCAGCTGCTCCTAAGGAACCATCATTGTCATTTTCTAAACATTGCGGATGAGATTTTCAAGTAATGAAAGCAATGCATTGTCACTAGAAAGAATGTTCAGGTTTCACAGAGTTTGGCTCCAAACAATATTGACATGTTGAACATGAAATTCATTACCACCTGCGATGAAAGTGGGCATCATTTATCAACTCGTTCATATGCTTACAGTACAATATTTTGTAGCAGTGGGAGTATGCTGAACCATGTGGAATACAACTGGCTGTAATTTTTTGTTCCTCCATTATTTTAATATATTACCATGTTTATCTTTAGCACATGAAATTTCTTGTATGATGTTTAGATTGCTACTGCAAAACAGGATAGTTTTGTTCTTATCAATAAGTTTAAGGTTTTGATGTACAAGTATGAGCAGAAGTTTCAATTTTAACTTAGCATTACGGCAGTCATTACCTTTTGTGCAGTAACATCTTACAAAATTACTACATTTTAAAGACTAATGTCTAGTAGGCACTGAAAGAACAATAATATCTATAGTAAGACATAGTTATTATTTATAGAAGTTATCATTACGATGGAGAGTATCCTGTTTTACAGTTTTTTTTTCTTGACAAGAACATGCAGCATTGATTTATATCAGGCAGAGTCATTCTTCTACAATATGCACTGAAATTGGATTTAAATCAATGCATTTTTCTCAACTTGATCTAATATTCTCTTGGATGATCTTGCTAGAAGCAACTCCTTCTCGTGGACCAGGCTATCGAGGAGCTCCTTCTGCCTATAGTTGTCATACACTTTCAGAAACGCCAGAACGGTAATTGCCATCCAAGCAACCCATCCAGCCCACAGGCCAAACTGCAGGTGAAATTCCCAGATGTTAGACAAAGTTTTCTAATTATTAACTTGCACATGCCATTCTTTTCACTTTTGAATATAATCTACAAAATGTTTATTTCATCATAACTTAAGTTCTACAATTCAGAAGGATTTGGTTAATGTTATAGTAGGAGAGAATTTGATTGATATTATCCTAACTTAATCCAAAAAGTCATTTTGAGTAAAATGCAGTTTTATGGATGCTGGGAATCTGGAACAAAAACAGAAAGTGCTGGAGGAACTCAGCAGATCTGGCAACATTGGTGGAGAGAAAGCAGAACTCGAAACGTTAACTCCACTTTCTCTCCACAGATGTCCCAGATTTGCTGAGATCCTCCAGCAATTTCTGTTTTTGCATAATTTTGAGTAAATTGATTGTATTCACACAACAGAAAAATCTATGCAGATTATCAAAAGCTTTTTATTCATATATAATCACATTGCTTCTTTTTATAAACATACATGCTAAAGACATACATTTCTGTCATTATATAAATAATCTGGCTGAGAACCCAATGGATAATGTCTCAATATTTGATTTGTATATCAGAGGTGTCTGACTACACTCTCCATCAGTTGTCATTTTTACAGAGAAAATTTGTTCAGAAATGTCTAATTCTGACTCTGGGTGGTAGCATAAAACAAGGCAACAGCTGAAAATTGGGTTCAGTTTACATTAGGTGGTCTGATCTGACCCATTTGACACAATCACAAAGTCAAAATTAAACCCAGACAAAACTTAATTTAATAATTTAGTCTGATAAGAAATCCTTTGAAGCTATTCCTGCACTGTTACTTCACCTCAGGAGCAGCACAGTTTATGTGCGTAAGCAGGGTTTTTGCTGCACTTTTTGAGGGAAAAGCCCTGGTAGAGTTATAGAATCATAGAGTCATACAGCAGAGAAACAGACCCTTCAGTCCGACCAGTCCATGCCAAACATAATCCCAAACTAAACTAGTCCCACCTGCCTGCTCCTGGCCCTTCAAACCTTTCCTATTCTGGTACTTATCCATATTGATTGTATTCACACAACAGAAAGATTTATGCAGTTTATCAAAAGCTTTTTATTCAAATATAATCACATTGCTTCTTTTTATAAACATACATGCTAAAGACATACATTTCTGTCATTATATAAATAATCTGGCGTAATTGTACCCACATCCACCACTTCCACAAAAAATTCATTCCGCACGCAAACGACTGTGTGTGTAAAAAATTCCCCCTCATGTCTTTTTTAAATCTCTCTCCATAGCTTAAGCTCCTCAGCTTAAAAATGTGTCCCCTAGTCTTGAAATCCCCCATTCTTAGGAAAAGACAACAGGGTTCTTTAAATGTACCTTTGGGCCCACAGTAACAGGTTTCAGAATATTCAATAATTGGGCAAAATTTCAAAATACTCACTAAAACTTTTTTTTTAATGAATGGTTGAGTTCTCAAGATATTTGACTTCAATTTTACTGTCCCTGAGAGGTGGGAGTAGAGGAACAGAAGCTCACGGAACAAGACAGACACACATTGGAGTGGTTCCTCATTGTGGTCTAGCCAATCAGCAAGTTTCCCATAGAGCCAATTTGCATGGACAGCCTGTTAAGGGCCATTTTACAGAGCCATCATTATTTTGCTAGGGTTGTGGGCATTGGACAATAGAACTAGAGGTTCTGTGACCCAACAAGGGGCCATGGCTGTAAATGGAAAACTCCCAGTCCCAATAATCTCCACAGAGAGTTTTCCTCTATCCATAAAGCCTCCTGCCCTAGTCCCTTAACTTTTTCAATGTTACATACCAATCTGAGGGGCTTCCATTTCAATTGGGCCAGCAGCATCAGAAGCTCACCTATTCAGTCTAAAGATGTGCAGGTTAGGTGGATTGGCCATGGTAAAATTGCCCTGTAATGTCCAGGGATGTGCAGGCTAGGTGGATTAGCCATGGTAAATGCAGGGTTACAGGGAAAGGATGGGGTTCTAGAATGCTCTTCATATAATCGGTGCAAACTCAATGAGCTCTGTAGGGATTCTACGATTCTACTGTCTTCTGTAGTGGGCATGCAGGCAGCCAAATGTAAGGTTCCTACATTAAAATCTCTGAGCAGGTTCCACTGTCAGCTAGTGTGGGCTTGGGACCTGCCTGTGGATTTGGTTGAGATTCCAAAGTCCAAAGTAAAATTCAACCTCTGATATTAGGATTTCTACAAAAAATTGGTAGGACAGTTTGCTACTGATATATTTTTAATCTCTCTTCCTTCATTATTTATTTCCCCTCACTGGTAAATACGGAAGAATGTGTACAAAGCAATGCTTAAACTTATTGTGAGCATTTGAGATTTATGAAGAGATAAGCAACATATGACCTTGACTCAGATAATTTGTAATGTCTTTCCTTGTAAAAGGAAAGTTGAACCTAAGCATCTGTCTGATTTTACTGCATTACCCACTTTGAACATAAAATCTAAATGATGGTAGTTTAGTAGCAATAGCTCATATTATTATCAGCCACCTGGCTATTCAGTTAAATAGTTGCTCACTAGGAATTAGCCATTAGTTAAGAAACATGCAGTGGCTGGTACACTACTTTCTAGCCCAAGTCCTTCTGTCCATCCAGCTGTCTAATATGTCACTGATTTTATAATCTATAGTCTGTTTTTACATTCTAAATCAATTTAATATTCATGAACAGTTTAGAAAAGTGACTTTAAAACAAGCAGTTTTTGCCTTAATTAAAAAGTGACCGACCATCTGTATAAATTATTATAAGCTGGAATTTATTATATTTAAATATGCAATGGTTGTCATTGTCATGAATTCTTCCACGGAAAAGCAAGCCAACTAATGACTTTACCCTCAGCTGCCATCCTATTTTTTAGATGGCCTTCTCTACAAATAATGTTTGGTGTATTATGGATCACATTGAGGATTAAGCAGTCACACTGTATGTGTTCATTTAATACTTTCGATAAAGAACCCCACTGTGGCAGACGGTTTGAAATCAATAAAAATCTGGCTTAATGGCAACCATGTAAATACTGTCAATTGTTGTAAAAACCCATCTGGTTCACTAATGTACTTTAGGGAAGGAAAATCATCCTTACCCAGTCTGACCTACATTTGACTCTAGACCCACAGCAATGTGGTTGACACTTAACTGCCCTCTGCACAATTAGGAATGGGTATTAAATGCTGAATTAGCCAGCAATGCCCACACTTTTTTAAAGAAAAGTGCTAGAATCCCTACAGTGTGGAAGCAAGCCATTTGGCTAATCAAGTCCACGCCAATTGTCTGAAGAGCATCCCACATCCCTACCCTATCCCTCTATTTCCCATGGCTAATCCAACTAGCCTGCATATCCCTGGATACTATGAGCAATTTTGCATGGTCAATCCACCTAATCTCTAGACTGTGGCAGGAAACCAGAGAACCTAGAGGAAAACCATGCAGACACGGGGAGAATGTGCAAGCTCCACACAGATAGTCACCTGAGGCTGAGCCTGATTGTGGATGCATGATGGAAACATGTCCCACATTATGGGGGTGCAGCATGTCTCACTGTATGATGTAGTGCACTCAGTCCTCATCTACAAGGTATGCCGCCAATGACTGGTCTGAGATCTGAAAGACTCTGTCACTCTTTCTCATACCATTAAGTCATTTCCATGGAGTGTCCTGGGCCCTGCCACTGGTGGCATGTTGGTCACTGAAGATATGGATCTGCTGCTCAGACCTATCTGGAGGGGCTCCCTCCAGTATAGTCCCACGAGAGTAGTCCCAGTGTGCTTTGAACAACTGGAGCAGGGAATGAGGCAATGTGTTAGATGCTGAGAAGTTGAGAGAATGAGAGCAGTCTTTTAAGGAGAAGGATTGTGGGGTGGGGGGAAGGATTGCCATTGCTCATGACAGTTCAGCTGCATCAGACACTACAAGCCCAGACAGATCCTCACTTCTCATAATTGGGATGTAGCAAACCATTGTGGACTGTAAAATAGTCATTGGTCATGATGCTGAAATCTGGCTTGCATTCTGGGGGCAAACTACAGTGTCTACTGGTTTTGTCTGTGTTTACTTCTGTTTTCTGTAAGTATAGACTTATGTTTCATTTTGTCCAATTGTTTCCATCCATGTGACGCTCCCCAACTGGACAATGATGAGCTGTGGGCCTACAGTGGGTAATGCAAGCAGATTAGCACGGACTTTCAGAGGGTGTTCAGATGGGATGTAGCTATGGACAGGTAAAGTGTGGCCGGGTGATTAAGTAGTGACTAGAATGTGAGAATGAGGTTGTATGTGTGAGGGTGTGTCAGCTTTGCCAGCTATGTGCCAGGTGCAACTTGGCTTGTGGGTGTAGTGCCATGGCACTGCGAGTGAGGGATAAAACTGGATTGTTAAGACTTGTCCGAGGACACAGCAGCCTTTAAAAAGCCACACGGGTACAAGCGGTACCTACCTTTTGGTAGATATCTGCTGAATGGTGAGCTCTTGCGGGAATAATATGTGGTAAAGTGGGGCTGGAATCAGACTGGTGGGGAGATGTAGAGGTGGGGGAGGTAGTTAGTACATCGAGTTGGGTAAGATGCAAAGAGAAAGTTCACCAGGCATGGCAGCAAAAAATTTCCAAAAAACTCGATGCTACTTGGACTTAGCCAGAAAATCATACGAGTCAGCTGATCATGACTATAAGTCATTTCAAAGCAAAGAAATTCTACAATGAATAACTGACTTCCAGCACTTGTCCAACATCTACAAAGTATAAATCAGGAGTGCAATGGGATACTTTCCATTGCCTGGATTAGAATGCCTCTAACAGTTCTCAAGGAGCTTGGCAGCATCCAGGACAAAACAGTTCACTTGGCTAGCATACCATCCTACATGGCAGACATAAACTTCCTCCAACATGGCTCAGGGTCTACCGTATGCAAGATAGACTACAACAACTCACTAATGCTGCTTTGACAACATCTTCTAAACTTTCAGCTTCTGCCACCCGGAAAAAACAATGATAGTAGGAGCATTGGAACACCACCAGCTACAGCTTCTCTTCCAGGTTACACACCATTCTAAGTTGGAAATATAACCCCATTCATTTATTATCACCAGGCCAAAACCCTGGAATTCTTTCCCAATATGACTGTGGCTGTACCCAGATCCCGTAACCTGTCATAGTTCAAGAAGGAGGCTCACCAACATCTGTTCAAGGGCAAAGAGGGATAGATGGAAAATATTAACATGGCCAATGGCACCCACATCTTTAGAACAAGTATTAACATGAATCTTTGGCAAAGGTGCATATTATATGCAGGCACTCGAGCCACCTGTTATAGTGAACTAAATATTTAGTTGGACTAAGTAACAAACTGCAGTGTGGCAATACAGAAGTGGTAAAGGATGAGAAATAGAGAAAACATACACGTGGAACCTGATCCTATGTTTTCAGATAATGTTGCCAAAAAGCAGAATGTAGACACATAACAGGCAGGAGTTCAGGGTCGATCCTTGGGAAAACTCTATACGTAAAAAGAGCAGAGGTCGCAAAAAATAAGATTGCTTGAAATAGTTCAGTGAGGATTGCTTGGTTAGAGCAAAAGAAGAGATATAGGAGATGGATGATGTGGTTGACTGCAGTAAGGTTGCGAAAGACAAGGACTGACAATATACCACAGGCAGTCACCAAAGAAGCCACAATTTATTCTCAGGACTGCTCCTCACTAACTAACTGTAATCACCATTTCCCAAAACATGAAGCAGAATTTACTGGGTGCAAATGTATTCAACTTATATTCTACAGGCAAAGTACTGTCATGGCCACTCGTTGGTCTTCTTGTGCATAAGTTTGTAAATCATGTGCTGAAGGCATCTCAAAATTTAACATGATACCAGCATGAAGAGACCTTCAGGTCAACTCTTCATCTGTCTTTACAATCCACAGGTTAATGTTAATAGATCAAATAATCAAAAAAGGTTGTAACTGGCCTTGGCAGTTCTGATTTTAATTCTTGTGTCTGGTGAACAGAGATGGGACCATTCTCAGCTCCACAAATCGCATCCTTTAAAAATGGCTGCACAAACGTACTATCTTTGGTCTGAGGGTACAGTCCAGAGCGGAACGGTGACTTATCTCCGCTACAGAACTGCTCTACCTCTCTGAATGAGTGCATTACCTCACTTTTACCTCTTACTTTTCCCAAATGTGTACTGGGATCGGAGACAAATGGATACCATACACCTCCTGGCTTTCCAAACAGGCCCGCAGGTTCAGATCCTCTTTTACCTGGTCTAATCTACAGTCTTCAGGATTCAAACACCTATCTCACCAAAACCACACAGGATTGGAGCCAGCTGGTCATTTAATTGGGAAAATAGGAAGTGCTATGTGCAGGGATAGGAGCTGAAAAGCAGGATGTACGTGGGTAATGAGCCATGGGTAAATAGCTGTAAACCCTTTGTAAGAAATGACAAGGCAGTTAAGGCAGATTGTCTTAATATCGAATCACAAATTAGCAACTTTCCTCAGTTAAACCACAGAATCAAGCTGAAATACCCCTCAAGGAAAATGCTGCTTTTGCCATTTACTACCTGCCATCTGCTGATAAATCTGTTTTTATATATTTGTCATATACTATCCATATAATTTGACTGTCAACCCTGAACTCCTCTGTTCTCCTGATTCACAGTATGAATCACACTGAGATGGGAAAGCTGTCATCTCCATTGCAAGTTCAAAAAACTTTATGCAACAGGTTTGCTTTCCAACTAGAAATGTTGATTAGGTACTGGATTCATTACTAACTTGAATACAATTCAGTAAAGCAGAAGTTAGCAGATAACTTAGTAGACAGAAGCAGGAGTAGGCATATTAAGCCTCCTCTGCCATTAAAGCTGACTATCACCTGAATCAGTTATGAGTGGTCTTTCACAGAAACAGAAATAAAATTATAAGTTCTGAAGAAGGGTCACTGGACTCAAAACATTAACTCTGCTTTGTTTCCACAACTGACGTCAAGCCTGCTGAATTGTGTCCAGCAATTGCTGATTTTGTTATAGAATTTTAAATGCAAGGCTTCAACAAATGTCAGATGGAATGTTGACTGGTGTATACCATACCATCAAACCATTTTATTATGAATCAAAAGCTAATTGGTCATCCTGCACAGAACATTGTTCAAATTTTGTCTGCAGATTTGTTTCCTAGGCTCACTGTGATTTTACTCGGTGGTAAATTAAAAATCTTGTTGACTTTTTCCAAGTCAACTGAAAATAAAATTTGGCACAGTTACAACTTCGCTGCTATTTTACTTGGAGCCCATTTTGTGCTTCTAGTATTATTTGGTTTTATCCTCAGATCGCTGATTGACACTCCAAGTCGAAACTCTGAAACTGCCTCTCCAACATCAGTGTACCTTCACCAAGTGGGCTGCGGTGGTTCATGAAGGCAGCGTACCATCGTCTTCTCGAAGGCAGCTGCTGATGGGCAATAAATGCTGACCAATTCCCACATCCCATATATGAATTAAAAAACAAGGTGCTGACCAGAACATTATATCGGGTCCTTGGCCCATATGTACCAGGTTCTATCTGTTAGCTCTCAGTTAACGACAGATGCACAAAGCAAGTAGCCTTAATGATATATGTTCTACTATCTCTATATTATCCTAGAAGTGAAAGGCACCATTTGTCCACAGAGCAAGTTGTCAATATTCCCAGCTTCTTATAAAATGGACTAAAGTAGATACAAGTGAGTGTATTCTAGCAGCTAGTTTTGAAGGGTGGTGATTCCAGGGATACTAATTTGAGGATCTTAACATTACTGTATAGTGGAATAATACCAAATCCTACAACTTAATTCTTTTTGATATATTTACTTAGCTTAAAGTTTAAGATAATGGTTCAAATTTTGCAATTTATCCATTAGTACTATTTTCTGTTGATGCTGCAGTCTACAAATTAAACTTTCCAAAGGCTTACCTGGATAATCGCAAACTGGTCGTAGAAAGAAGAGTTATCCAAATGGAGTTCCAGATCTATATCCTGCAATTCTTCACAACTGTTAAGATGAAAAAAAATTATTTTAGAAAGTTCAACCAAGGTCATGCAACAGTTACATGTTATAAAGTCTGTTCTGGAAATGCCTTTTATTAAATTTTCTGTAGGCAAGAACATTAATGAATTTATTGTTAATATTAAATAGTGATAACAAATTTTATATTGAACTCATCAATTTTTATACTTACTTTTACTTGTTGGTTGACTCCAGAAAGTACAGAGTGTAGAACAAGAGAATTTCCTAAAATCACATACCTGTTAGGCATTCTTCCATTCTCAGTGATCGCATCACACCACATATTGAAGCCAACAGTCACCAGAGTACTTGCCACGAAGATAAGGAAGACCACGAAAGTGCTGACCAGCAGATTCAGGAACGTTGCAAAGAAAGTGCTGCAACCAGCATGTGGGGTGGACAGCAGGGAGTGAGAAGAAAGCACATCAGGAAGACAGCAAAGGCAGTGACATGTCTGATAAACATTCTGTCAGGATGGATCCTAAGAATGCTGCACTGATGATAGCTCTATTTACAGGGACAGTAAGACAACTCACGTTGATTAGCTTCACTCTAAAATAAAACACAAACATTTACTCAGCCAGATCATGATTTTTAAGTAGAGTTGCACTGGAAGTTAGATCATGTTTCAGTTCACTGTGGTATTTAGCAGACATCGCACCACAGATTACAAATATGTTGTTGTCTAGCATGAGGAATAGCTTTAACCTGTAAATGAAGGAAAGTCCAAGGACCAAGGCTAGTGGTAGCACACTGGCCTCTGATTCAGAACGTTGGGGATTCCAATCCTGACTGTGGTTCATCACAAAAGTCAAGACTGGCACTACTCGTGTAGGACTGAATGAGTGCTGCCCTATCAGGGATGTGGACGCTGGGATGTGGGGATGAATGTCCTCTTTGATGGATGTAAAATATCCAAATGCCGCTATTTTTAGGAGGCCTTTGAAAAGGTGCTGCACAGGAGGCTGCTACATAAGATAAGGCCCTAATGGTGTTAGGGGCAAGGTATTGGCATGGATAAAGGATTGGCAGAAGGCAGAGAGTGGGATAAAGGGGTCTTTTTACAGGATAGCAGCCAGCGGAGTTCTGCAAGGGGTTAGTGCTGGGACCGCAATTATTCAGGCTATACATGAACAATTTAGCCAAAGGAACATAGGGAGGTGCTGGCCTAGCGGCATTATCACTAGACTATTAATCCAGAAACCCAGGTACTGTTCTGAGGTCCATGCCATGGTAGATGGTGAAATTTGAAATCAATAAATATCTGGAATTAAGAGTCTAATGATGACAATGAAACCATTGTCGATTGTCAGGAAAAACCCATCTGGTTCACTAATATCCTTTAGGGAAGGAAACTGCTGTCCTTACTTTGTCTGACCTTACCTTGTCTGACCTACATGTAACTTCAGAGCCACAGCAATGTGGTTGACTCTTAACTGCCCTCTGGGCAATTCGGGATGGGCAGTAAATGGCAGTGACAACCACATCCCGTGAAGGAATAAAATAAAACTAAGGGTATTGTTGCTAAGTTTGTAGATGACACAAACATCATCTGTGATGGTGATGAGACAGATATTGTGGAGGAAGTGGGGAGGCTGCAGAAGGACTTAGACAGGCCTGGAGAGAGGGGAAAGAAGTGGCAGATGGCATACAATGTGGGAAAGTGTGAGGTTATGCACTTTAGTGGAAAGAACAGACGTACAGAAAATTTTCCAAATGGAGAAAGGCTTCGGAAATCTGATGCATAAAGGGAATTTGGAATCCTAGTTCAGGATTCTCTTCAGATTAACATGCAGGTTCAACTGGCAGTTAGGAAGGCAAATACAATGTTAGAATTGATTTCAAGAGTGCCAAAACACAAGAACAGAGATGCACTGCTGAGACCACATAAGGCTCTGGTCAGACCACATTTGGAATATTGTGAACATTTTGGGCCCCATATCTAAAGAAGGATGTGCTGGTGTTGGAGGAGATCCAGACGAGGTTTACAAGAATGATCCAGGGGATGAAGGGCTTGGGTCATATGAGGAGTGGTTGCGGACTCCAAGTCTGTATTCAATAAAGTTTAGAAGGGGGGTGGAATCTGATTGAAACTCACAGAATATGGAGAAGTCAGGATAGACTGGACAAGGAGAAGATGTTTCCACTTGTATAACAAACTAAGACCCAAGGGCACAGCCTCAGAGTGAAAGAATGACTCTGAGAACTGAGATAAGGAGGAATTTCTTTAGCCTGAGGGTGATTAATCTGTGGAACTCATTGCTGCAGAAAGCTGTTCAGGCCAAGTCACGGAGTGTATTTAAGAGAGGTTAAGATAGATAGGTTCTCAATTAGTATAAAGGTCAATGGTTACAGAGAGAAGGCAGAAGCAGGGGTTGAGAAACATTATCAGCCATGATTGAAAGGTGGAGTAGACTCAATGGGCCAAATGGCTTAATTCTGCTCTTATACCGCATGGTCTTATGGTTTCTTGAACATTTTTACACAGCAGCAGATACCTGAGATATTGAATAAAGGTGGCTTTGGGGTTCTGTGACTAAAAGGTTCAGTGGATAAGGAGTGCAGTGCAAAGGGTTTAGTGAGCAAGAGGCTATGGATAAAGGTTCTGTGGATAAACAGTATTGTGGGAATGGGAGTCTGTGGAAATGGAATACAGTGAGAAAGATTTCGTGAGTAAGCTGTTTGGGTAAGGACTCAATGAGTCAGGTACAGTGGCAAGGGGATCAGTGGATAAGGTTCTTTGTGTAATGGGTACAGTGGGTAAGAAATACATTTGGTAAATCATGTTGTGGTAAATATGTAAAAAGATTACAGTGAGTATTATGTTCAGGGATTTTGGAATCTAGTGGCTATGGAATTTAGTGCATATGGAGCTGAGTCCATTAGAACTTTTAGGGAAAGGAGGTTCAATACATTAAGGGAGTCAATGGGCAAGGGTCTGAGTGGCTATGAGATTCAAAGGAAATGTGGTTCATCAGGAAGAAGTTAATTACATTAGGGGTGCAATAGGGAACAGGCTTGATTGGTAAAGGGTATAGTGGGTAAGGGTTGCTGTGGCTATCTAGTTCTTTAGTAAAAGGGATTAGTTGTTAAGGGTTCATGGGACATGGGATACAGTGAGTAATTCACTGGCTCATACCAGAAAAAAGAGCAGAAGTATGCCATTCTGCCCATCGAGCCTACTCTACCATTAATTGAGATCACAGCTGACCTCATAATCCTAAATTCCACTTTGTAAGGGTTTAGGATACAGTCAGCAACAGGTGGAGTGGGTACCAGGTTTGATAGGTAAATGGGTCAATGGGTTTGGAGTGCAGTGGGTATCATGTTCAGTGGATCTGTGGTATAGTTGGAAGAAGGTGGGTCTTGCATACAGTGGATTTGGGGTTCTATAAGGATATGCTGGGTATACAATAAGTTTGAGGTTCAGTGGGTATAGAGTTCAGTGAGTTTGGGATTCAGTGGGTATGAGGTTCAATAGGAATAGGGTAGGATTGGGGTACAGTGGAAATTGGTTGGAATTGGGAATATGGTAGGATTGAGGTACAGAGGATATGGATTTCAATGGGAATAAGATGGAATTAGGTACAGAAGATATGGATTTCAATGGGAATAGGGAGGAATGGGGATACAAAGGATATGGGTTTCATTGGAAATAGGGTGGAACTGGGGTATAAAGAAGATGGGTTTTGCTGGGAACAGGGTGGAATTGGGGCACCAAGGATTTGGGTTTTGATGGGAAGAGGGTGGAATTGGGGTTCAGAGGATTTGGGTTTCGATGGGAAGAGGGTGAAATTGGGGTACAGA